CCCTCACCCCACCCCACACTCCACCCCACCCCACCACCACCACCTCCCCCATGCGGTTCGAGGCCATCACCTCAGCCTGCGGGTACCTTGCCTACGCCATGGGACTGACACTGGCCCTGGGATACATCCTCCTCGGCCGCTCGGCCCTCCCGCCCGACTTCATGCCTGCCTCCCACTGCACCGTCGCCTCGCTCGCCTCGCCTGCCTGCCTCACCCCGGCCGACATGACCTCCTGTGCCCTCCCGCTCGCCCTTGCCTTCCGCCTTGAGTTGGAGGACAAGCCCGATGTGACCGCCACCGCCACCGCTCTGCTCCCGCTCGCGCCCCACGAGGCCATTGCCTGCCTCGCTGATGCCACTCTCTCCGGCCCTTGCGCTGCTCTCCTTCACCTCGCTCCGCGCGCAGACCTCGCTTGTGCCGTCCGTCTTCCTTCGCCTGGCCAAGATCCGCAGGTCGTCATCCGTCGCTACGCGCCACGCATGATTGCGCTGCTCGACGCATCCTCCGCCGAGCTCTCTGTGGCCGACGCCGTCGCTGCTGGCGGCACGATCACCTCGCGCCTCCTCTATCTCGCACTCCTCGCCCTCCTCTGCGTACCCTGCTGTGCCTTATGGGGGGCCCTCCTCTGCTGGGTCGGCCTCACAGAGCGCGAGTTTGCCTTTATGAAGGCCCTCACTTGCAACGCCCCGCCCGGCCTCGCGCCAGGCCTGCCACGGGCTGATCCGTGGCTCCGCCGCGACGACTGACCCCCCCCCCCCCTCCCCCACACCCGCCAAAGATCACATGTTGTAAATCCCCCGCTTCTTGCCTGCTATTGTGGCTCGAGAGCCCTGAGCCGCGCGTCAAGCGCGTCATGCTTGGCGAGCACCTGCGCCAACGCAGAGTTGAGCGCAGTGATCTGGCTGTTCTGACGCGCGATGGTGTCCATCAGCTGCGTCCGCAGTCGGGCCTCCTCGCGAGAGCGCCGGTCAGCGTCGGCAATGTGATCGGCAAGGGTCTGTGTGAGGAGGAGGAGCGACTTGGCGTGCTCGCACTCGTTGCCGCTGCTGCTCCCCGCCGACACAGTCGCTGCGTCGCCGGCCGGCGCGCCACCAGAGGTGCGCCGGCCGCCGTCGCTCGTAGGCTCTTCAAAGCTCAACCGCCGCGCAGTGTTCGGCGACTCGGGATCGTTGCGCGGCGTTGGGCCCGGATTGCGCGGCTGTGTCTCATCGCCGCTGCCGTCGTCGCCCAGCTGTGCCGACACGCCCGCCAGGTCGAGCTCCGGCGGGATTGACGGGAGTCGGAGCGGCGCCGCCGGCGACCCGGCCTCGTTCGCCGCCCGGCCATGGTCCGTCGGTGACGGCGAGCCAGTAACCCGGAGCGGCGACGAGAGGCCTGGCCGCCCGGCTGCGGGGCTCGCGGTCACCACAATCGGCGCGTACATCCGCGGCGACGCCGACGCAAGCACCTCCCGCTGTACAACCGTTGTCCGCAGCTGCCCGCCGTTTGCGCTCCCTGCGCCCCACGCCGCCACAGGACCCGCCGCCGGCGATGGACTGAGCGTGAGCGAGTGATTGTGATTGCCCGCGCCGGGCGAGTGCGGGCCCTTACGCGAGCTCGGCGGCGACCAGGCCGAGCGCACCCCGCCCTGGATGGGGCTCGACGTCGGCGCCCAGGCCGACGTCACCGCGCTCGATCCGGGGCTCGGCGGCAGCGACGCTGCAGACGACGTCGGGCTTGACGTTGACGGCGTTGGCCCGCGCGGGGATGGCGGCGTCACAGATGCCCTGCGCGCCGACCGCAGCGCCGCCCGCGATGCTGCCTCGGCAGCCCTGCGCCGCTCGCGCTCTTTCGCGTCCTCGCGGTAGACCGAGAGATCGTGTTGTGTAGACTGCGAGGATAAGAGAGGGAAGAGAGGGAGAGAGTGTGAGTGTGAGTAAGGGCGTGATGACGATCATGGCATAGCACAGCTACCAACAACAGTCGTCGGCAAAGGGGAGGCAGCAGGCAGCAGGCGGAGGCGAGGGAGAGCCAGGCAGCAGGCGAGGGAGAGCGAAGCAGCCCGTACAGTGGCATGGTAGCACGGGGACTACCACCACTAGCCATACCCATGCCCATGCCCATACCCATGCCCATGCCCATGCCCATGCCCCAGCGTCCAGGTAGTTGACCATTGCGTTTGATCAGACACAATGTCCCAAAGGAGAGACCGGCAGGGACCGGGGGGGGGAGGGGTGGGGTGGGGGGGGGGGGCAGCAGCAGCCAGGAAGGGCGACATGGGCACACAGCCACCACCCCCACTATATGCACAATGGTATGGTATGAGGTAAGGGGGGGGGGGCGGGGGCGTGGGCATGGCCTTTGTGGGCAATGTGGGCGGTGTTGTCGACTCGTCGGCCTTTGCTCGTGTCGTCCTTGACCAGGGACAGACACTGGATGGGGAGGCACTGGGGGGATGGTATACAGAAAGGGATGGGGGAAAGAGAGGTAGTACGTACATCCCAAGGTGGTCGGCTGGGTCCACGGAGTGGTCGGTGGGTACTCCGCACCCGTGGCTCGTCCTCCTCCCTGCCTCCGCCTCCGTGTCGACGGACACGGACTCGTTTGCGGTGAAGCATGGGCAGAGAGAGAGTGAGAGAACTGTGCCCACACGGCAGCCATCGCCCCACCCGTACCTCCACCCTCCCCATACACACACAATCATCGCGATCAGCTCCCACATGACTCGGCCATCGGCAGTTCTTCTTTCTTGCAGGCAATCAATGGCTGGAGTGGGAAAAAAAGGGATGCTCAGGCCCAGCTCAGGCCACCACCGTGTTGCTGGCAACTCCATTCTCATCAAAGGTGCGATAGTACCCGTTGCCGGCCTGGGAGACAGCTTGCAGCAGCTGGACATCGCTGAGGTTGTGCGTCACCGTCTTGACGCCGGCTGTGTGGAAGCCGACCACGTTGACGACACGGCCCTCACCGCCAGCCACCCACGACGCCGTCGCCTCCACAATCGCCGAGTTGTTGCCGGCCATGCAGCCCCAGTTGGTGATGAGGAAGACACTTGTCACGCCCTCCATTCCGTAGGCTGCCTGCAAGCCTGCGAGCATGTTCGGCGCACCCGAGCCGTAGATCTGGCCGTCGATAAACGCCGACGCCGTCGCGACATGGTCCGGCGTCGGCCAGACCGGCGCGTCAAACGCCATCTTGGTCGCTGCGCCGTAGCGGACAACGTTGAACGCCTGGCCTGCCACAAGATCGCCCAGCGCAGCCTTGAGCTGCTGCTGTAGCAGCTCGACTGCCTTGACGCTCTCGCCGCTCTCCGGATCCGGGATCTTCTCGTTGAGCTTGTTCCCGTTGCCCACCACAAACACCACCCCGCCCGCGCTCGGCAGGCCCCCGATGAGCCACGACGAGCCAGAGCTGGACGCCGGCGCCGGCGCCGCTCCCGCCGGAGCGTCAGACGCCGCTGCTGATTCGCCGCCCCCGGCCGCAAGCAGCTTCTCGGCCTCGGCCCGGTCGAGCGACGAGTCGAACAGCTCGAGGATGTCCCCGTTGCCCGGCCCGACGTCGCTCAGCCGCGGCACAACATGCGTGAGCACCGCGAGCTTACCCAGATCGCTGTCAAAGGCCTTGAGAATCTCCGCGCCCTCGGCACAGCTCATCGGCGCCGACTTGCCCAGCACCGCCGCAAGCTCGGCCTCGGCGTCGAGCATGTTGTTGAACGTCGCAACAATAGCCACCACCTCTCCCGGCGTGTACGCGCTGCCGTATCCCGACGCGTGCTTCGCGACGAGCTCCCCGCGCTCTAGATCAGACTCGATCGCCTTGAGCGCCTTAACGAGGTCGCTCACTGCCGCATCCCACCTCTGTTTCATGAGTGTTGTCGGACGATGGCTAATTTTGTGTCCAACGGCTTTCGCCAAGATTTTTCTCCCAACCGCAGTCAACCTACCTGGGCCAGCAGCCGAGTCAGACGACGAGACCTTGTCCATCACGCCCTTGACCTTGGACTTGACGGTGTTCTTCATCTTGTTGAACATGGTTGGAGTGTTTGAAAGAGAGATGAGGTGATGGGGAAGTGGAAAGAGCCTCCTCCCGCTCGCAACTCGCAATTGTTACACGTGCCTACAACGCGCATGTGCCACTTTCACTCTTTCTCTTCTGTTGATGTCATTTCCCCCCACCCCGCACCCCCTCCCTCCCCTCTCCCCCCTCCTCCCGCCCATGGCCCCTGTGTATGCCATTCTCCCCCCCCCTCCCCATCTCCCCCCTCGCCCATATCGCCC